ATCAGATTTATGCTTCAAACTTTTTCCATCGTATTCTCATTTTCAAATTAACATAAAGTATTCCAGATTATGATTTATTTCCAATTTTTTTTTTTAAGATGCAGTAAAAAGACTCATTTGCCCGTTGTATTTTTACATAAGTATAATGTCATTCATATTAAAAACATTTTGAAATAACCATCACATTTCATATAGACAGTTTGTAAGCCGAGCTTACAAATATGAAGTTAAGAGACGAGGCTGATAACTAGTTCTTAATGGGACTTGAGAATTGACATTTGAGCACAAGTGTACTAAAAACAGATGTATAAACATGAATAAGATCAAACGGAGGACTGAAATTCCGTCTAAATTTCTCAAATAACAAAGACATTTTTAAGTATACGAGTCGTGCAGTGAAAAATACAAGTTCAGACTGTTAAGGAGAAGAGAAGATGCTAAAACAATACCAATAATATATAATAGAACAAAAGAATTTCTCACTATTTTCTCTTTCGGTCAATTAAGTAACACTGGAAACTGAATAAGCAAACTGGAAAAATAGTGGATAGCCCAGAATTGATGAAGTTTTCTTAGTATTGTCCCGAGACACGCAGTATTAGATGGAATAAAAGCAGTAACTCTGCATCAGACGAACCTTCCGAGCTATTTACATTTTCATCATAGCTTGAAAGCTCCAAGGAAACCGGATATCTTCTTGCCTTAACACCACGGGAAGCAGCACTTCTGCGTAAGAGGAGGCAAAAAGGATATGGCTCCAATCAAAAATCATGAGAAACGATAAGATTCTTGAAAACGAGAAATGATGAAAAAAGAAGAAGAAAAAACCTTATGATTCTTGGACTGATGATTTTGAGATGGATGCTTTGGAGTGCTCGACACATTTCCAGCCCCATTATTCCTTTCCTCTCGTACTTTGTTGAAAATATGAGTAAAATTTTCGGCGGATTGAGGATCATTCTCCCATTCTCCAAATACTGGAACAGCAGCACCTCTATCGGGCTGTCATTGGCAATGCATTCATTAAAGAGTGGCAATAAGTCAAGCTCAGTGAGAGGGCATTATATCCTCGATCAGTTTTGGTAATAAACAGGGAAACTGGAGACTCTGCACTAATTGGAATTTATGGTATATGAAATTAGACGATAAGTCACTAACAACACGTACACTTTCATCTCCTTGAGTTGGCTTTAATCGGGATCTTCCAGGGGTACCATGACTGCTGTCATACGAGTTCTTTCCTTCCCAAGCCGGAGATCCACTACCTCTCCCTGTTATCTTGGCCTGGTGATGTGGATGAAGTGGGGACCGCTCAATGCTGTGCCCCGAACCTGCAGTCCGCCTTGCATGTCCCCCAGACCTCGCCCCACGGCCTACATAATTTGAGTCGTTAGCTGTTCTCTGACCCGTATTTTCACTCTGGGCTGGAGAATTTCTTGGTTGCACCAGACTAGTTTCTGGTTTTGTGGGAGGAGCAGGGGCTGGAGCTGGAGGTGAAGAATCAGCATTCAAGAACATGTCGGGATTCTCTGCAGGGTCATTTGGATTTATCATCTTCCCACCTCTATTTTTCCTTGCCTTATCAAAGTAGACCGTGTAGGGAACATTGTCTTCGCTTTCCCAGTTGCCGAATTTAGGTACACTTGGATCCTGCATCAATAATAAGAAGAAACACTATTTCCATTAACAGTCTATGCATATATTCAATTACTGATGAAAAATAATAAATCTCGTCTTGAAAAAGCGATTCCAATCTAACCGTCTCTACTAAAGTTACAGACATGTATCAAGCAAATAATCTCTCATTGCTTTGGCCTTACTTCATCACCGAACTATTTCATCCAGTTAGAGACAAGACAAAATGTAACACCGGTGACACTGATTGGACGCAAAACATGTTCTTGCTAGGAATCTATAATTTGAAAAACCATAAGCTGCACAAGTTCGTTCAAAATTAGGATATGAAATAGAGGCTATTAGGATGGAAGGGAAGTACTTCGACAACATTATACACCATATAATTGTACTTAGCCAGAGATATCACGTTCTTGTATTATGCAACCGAAAGAAATGTACACGAAAATCCTTAAGAATGGCAATGAAGCAACAAGAATCATGTTTACTTAAATCTGATTTG